TCTGTAAAAAATTACAATGGGGGCGGAAATTTTTAAACGTCACATGGCGCTTGTGAGACTTTGGCCGGGAGGTGACGACATATCGTCGTCTAGAGGGCGTATACTGTCACCAGTACTTGTGGGCATGTTGCAAACCTTTCCTTGAGCAAAAAAAATTATATTTTATACGGCAAAAATGTCTCAAAAATCACGATGAACGCATCAGCAAAGTCTAAAATGCATGCACTATCTAATCATGCTTTCCTATCCTTCGCGGAAAAAAAAATTCTCGGCGTTTTTACCAAAGTCCGTTGGTACCTTTACCATCTCACTTTGTTTTACCAATTATTGGTAATTTCACCAAGACAGACTGGTAAGCACACCTTAAAATCGGTATTTTTACTTTTTTTTTTTTTTCAGGTAAGAATACCACTTTAATTGGTAATCAATTCGTAACCCGGTAACTTTGCCATTTTATCTCGGAAATTTATTCTACCACAGTCGATAAAAAATATCGGCGTTTTTACCAGGGTCCAGTAAAATTACCGAGAAAGTCAATAATTTTACCGAGATTTCTCGGTAAAATTACCAATTCCATAAATTTAATTTTACCAAGAAAAAACTGGGATCAAATAGAACCCTGAATTCTTGGTAATGTTACCCTTTTCTTAGTAAATACACCGAGATTTTTTTTTCAGTGAAACAATCTGCCTAGCTGATAATCCATCGGACGTCCTTAAAAAAATTTTTCAGCAAGATTTTTCGACCGGCATCCTTTGTTAGTAACAAGTACTCCGCTGTGCTAAGGAAAACGCCTTATGAACATCCTGACGTTGTCAAATTTCTCCTGAAAAAACAAAAAAATTCTGAAAAATTCGTGAATTTTCTTTTTGAATTTTGTAGTGAATTTTCTCGAAACTCAATCGAACGTGCCTGAAAATTTCAAAGAAACATGTTCATCACTTTTCTTATACATGAACATTTTAACGGGGATGATCCGGCTATATTTTAATGTTCATACGGCGTTTTGTCTCAGCACGGTAGCAATGCGGGTCTGTTGCGAAGGTCAAAACTATTTTCTGTCGAGCCTATAATCGGAGCACAAGATGGGATAAAACGTTTTCTCGGCGAGACGCGAGTAAGTGGATGTGAGTGTGGGCCAGAAAAGGTCAAAGCTTCTGGTAATCGCTGTGGGAAGTAGGAAAAGGGAAGACCTTGCCCGAGATCAGGCAGAAGCCCGAAATCGAGATCAGGTCCAACGTGAGCGAGCCACCAACCGCGACCCCCCCCCCCCCCCCNATCTTGTATTTCGTGCTCCGTGATAAACCACGCATGCGCTGTGAAATAACATCACCGAACAGAAAAATGCCTAGATATGTGTAGAATACTGCCTTGCTAAGGAAAACCGCCGTATGAGCACTGGAAAAAAACACATTGGATCTAGAGTCCAGACTCCTAAAAACATCGACAAGAAAAAATACTCTTGATTCAATCGGATTTTTGCTTGAATCAAGAACCAAGCCTCTTAATTTGAGCGGATTTCCTTTTGATTTAAGAAGAAATCTGAAAGAATCAAGAGTATTTTTTCTTGTCAATGTTTTCAAGAGTCTGGACTCTAGATAAATGTGTTTTTTCCCGGTGAGCCCTCAGGCGTTTCCTCTGTCAAATAACTAATTTTCGGGAAAATTTTGAATATTTTTCCGCCAATTTCTCAGATAATTTTGTTTTTAATTTGATCTAAACTGTCTGAAAATTTCAAGGAAAAATATTCATGCCTTTCTTCAAAAATAAATATTTTATTGAAGGAAATTCAGCAACTCTTGAATGTTCATACGACGTTCCTTCTTAGTACGGTAGAATACTTATTAAGCATCGACTAGGATGAAACTTAGGATTATTTTAAGTATTGACGAAGAGTAGTTTGAAACTGCTCAAAAAGTGTTGGATTTCGTCTTGGTGGGGTGTCCCTTTGGATTTGGACCAGGGTGGCATGAAGCGTAAAAAAAGAAATGAAAGATTGAAAATTTCAGTGAATTATTTCATGGAATTCCCCGAGGCTGTAATATATTTCACGAGGCTGTGCAATATTTCATATTTTTCAGGAGCCTACCGTATACCGTATATGCAACCCGCACTCAAACACACACAAACAGAAGAAAGTCACAGTTTTTAAATTTTGCTAAAAATGAAAAGGAACCGGTATTTTTTAATATCTTTCATTTATTTCTGAAATTACATGAAATATTTCAGAAGTTTCAAGATTTTATTTTTCATGAACTTTTGCCACCTTGCTTTGGACCCCCTCTCACATTGCAATCATTACACGGGTGAGAGAATTCTACTTACTTTGGCGCGGCCAAAAATCAAATCAGACAAAATCAGGGTTGCCGGCGGTCTGGGAAACCGGGAAAGTCAGGGAATTTTTTGGCGACCAGGAAAAGTCAGGGAATTTGGTGAGGTGCGTTTACCAGTATAGTGTGTGTAATTTAAAGGGGGAATATCAAAGTGGAAGTTTTATTAGAATGTCAGGGAAAGTCAGGGAATCCGAAAATTTTGGGGTCAGGGAATAATCATGGAAAATCGGGGAATTTGATGATGAAGAAATGCCCTGCTTAACGGCGCTGGGTTATTCTGAATGCTATGCTGTTTTTTATCACAATATTCGGATTGCATTTTGCAAAAAGGAACCAAGAGCATTTCAATGTTGCTAGGATTGAACAACTTAAATTCTTTGAAAAAAAATTACATAAATTATGACAAAAATTAAATTTACAAACAAGATTTTTGTCTTAAATTCATAATTTATAGAGAGTAAAGATAAAACTTTTTAGATGATCAGTTTCTATTTGCAAGGTAAAAAAAAGTTGCACAATCTTAGCGACACTGGAATGCTTGTGGTTCCTTTTTGCAAAATGCAATCCATTTCACATTTCTCAGTTTTCGATCATCCCAAGCTGCGAGGTCAGGAATTGTTTTCATCCCAATCAGAATTGATATATTCAGCAGGCACAAATTACATAATGATTTTGCCTCGATTATTCGTACATGCACTCCCACTCATGCATTTATTTTTAATTCTAAGTAGAGGCACTTAATTTTGAAGTGCATTCCCAATAGGCGGAACACTACGGTGTCAGGTTATACCCGGGTTTTGCAATACCCGCATAGGTATGCGAGTATTTTGGGATTTAGGCAGCATTATGATCGTCAACCACTTCCCGGTTGATGCTAACGGTTTTCTCCGTACACCTACGCCCTTCTGAAGGAAAACAAATCGAATTTTAAAGAGGAATTCGGAGAGAATATTTTACAAAATATGCAGCCTGCGTTTCCCGGATATGAGCGCGAGCTGTCCGCCCACGTTTCTGGCTGTCGGCGGGCGTGATGGCCAAGGTTGAAATTGAAAGCAGCTGCTGTTGTGTAGTACGAACATGGACGTGGGTCAAAAGCTCGCCTTGGCACGGGCCAAACTAGATCTTGCAGTTGACATGACCGCGAGTCCACGAACCACGACACAAGACCAAGTGTGTTTCACTCTCCGCGAATACTAATCCGAGACCAAGAAGCTTAGCCTAAAAACAAATTTTTGGCACGTTAGAGATCAATTTTATACAGGAATATCCGAGACTCGGGATCAAACTTTTACACTGCTTATAAGTCGCGCCTTGGAAAAAAAACACATTGGATCTCGAATTCAGACTCTTGAAAACATTGACAAGAAAAAATACTCTTAGTTTAATCGGATTTTTGCTTGAATCAAAACGAAATCCGCTTAAATTAAGAGGCTTGGTTCTTGATTTAAGCTAGATTCTGATTGAATCAAGGGTACTTTTTCTTGTCGATGTTTTTAAGAGTCTTGACTCTAGATCCAATGTGTTTTTTTTCCAGTGAAGCTATGAACATTTTTGACATGAACACGACACAGGACCAAGTGTGTTTCACTCTCCACGAATACTAATGCGAGACCAAGAAGCTTAGCCTAAAAACAAATTTTTGGCACGTTAGAGATGAATTTTACAGGACTGGAAAAAAACAGATTGGATCTAGAGTACAGACTCTTGAAAACATTGACAAGAAAAAATACTCTTGATTCAATCAGATTTTTGCTTACATCAAAAAGAAATCCGCTCCAATTAAGAGGCTTGGTTCTTGATTTAAGCAAAAACCCGATTGAATCAAGAGTATTTTTTCTTGTCGATGTTTTTAAGAGTCTGGACTCTAGATCCAATGTGGTTTTTTTCCAGAGCATGGTCCAAAACTCAAGAATAGGAAGAAATAAGACGGATTATGACTGAAAGATTAAGAAAGTTACGTAATTGATGTTTTTTGGATCGCCAATTTCGAATTTGATGTCAAATTGTCTACATCTCAACACCCTTGCGGCGCGGCGTGCTGCCAGCTCGAAACGCGCACTGACGCCTACAAACCTAAGGGGATACTTCAAGCATTGCGCGGAAATCGAGCGAGCAACTATTCGAACTCCGGAGTAGGTATGTTGTATCACGCGAAATTGAAGGAAAATCTTGGATTTTCTCCTATCCCAAGTTAGAATTTTAGCAGATATTATTGAATGGGGTGTTTTTTTTTTCCAGTGTTACTTCGTATGGTAAAATAAAATTGAAAATTGCGGCTTTTCGTGAGGAATGCTCTCAATGTTTATAAAATAAATGAACCGATTATCTTCCAAATCTTTATTTAGGTGGTAGCGGGGTTGTTTTTCCTTTGTCTCCTCTGGTGTATGTCCGACCCCTCCAACTAACTCGATCCACTGTGCGTCGACCAAAGAGGTCAGTTCGTGCGATTAGAAGTTCGGTTCACTTGAATCGCTAAACGGCCATTACACACAACCAATTTTGCAACCATTTTTTTTTTTTTTTTTTTTTTTTTTTTTTTTTTGTCGCCTTGTCTCTTTTTCATCATCTAACTGGAAAGTAGACCGAATAGTTTTTACATTCTACTCCATTCTCACATTTATATTCATTATATTCATATTTGACATGCGGTTTTTCTGTTTGTTGCAGACAATATGCTCATGACTCTGTGGAGTTTCCTCTAGAAGTACCAACGTTTCAACCATCACCATGTAAGTAATCTGAAATCTCTAACAGGTACATATAAGGCCTTATATGTAACAATGGCGGATGTGAAAAATTACCTTTTCGAAACACGCTTAAAAAACTGTTTTGTTCACACAAAAATTTAATATGTTTGGCTCTGGCATAATGTACAGATCTCGAAGATCACATCACAAGTATTTTCTCAAGATTTTCTCGATGCCGAAACAGTTTTTTAAGCGTGTTTCAAAAAGGAAATTTTTCACATCCGCCATTGTTACATATAAGACCACATATGCGACTGTGCCGTATATTCACGCAAGTTCTTTGAAGGGGACTCAAACAATTACTAAGAGCACTCTTGCCCCTTCTTTGCTGTGACTTACAGTCCGAAATTTTTGGTTGTCTTCTCAACGAGATAACGTTACAGTTAGACGTATTTCTACCCAACGAAACTGTGCGTATTATAACGTGAGCCCTGTTTTGCATATTTTCTTATGGGTCTCAGGGCTCATATCTAAATGCACGCAGTTCCGTTTGACAGAAATACGTCCAATTATGCGGCAGATATGTCAGAAAGTGATCTCGCTTGGCAGACCACTTTGCTGCCGTGCTAAGGAAGAACGGCGTATGAACATTCGAGAGTTGCCAAATTTCCCTCGATAAATTGTTTATTATCGAAGAAAGTTATCGATATTTTTCCTTGAAATTTTCAGGAACTTTAGCTGAAATTGCGAACAAAATTATCTGAAAAATTGGAGCGAAAATATTCATAAGTTTTCCATAAAATTAGCGTTTTATCAAAGGAAATTTGGCAACGCCCGAAGGTTCATACGGCGTTCTTCCTTAGCACTCCGCCTCACGTTCGTCGATTCAACTTACCATTAGAGGGAATTGAAAAGTATCGATCTTCCTACAAATTGGGCGTCTGGCACCGACAACGCTACACCCATCGTTTAAGTCTTGACAGGCAGTTGTGATAATAAAGTTCGGACGGTTTTTGTTCCACATTAATCACGCGCCCATCATCCGCCGGGAGTGCTGTAATCAGAGCTCTGAGCCGACGAGGTAGGGCAAGGTCAGTTTTTATGTTTAATTAGTGGAGACTCCTGATGAGCATAGCTTTATTTCTCCTTGCCCTTTAACAGCGGTATGCAACAACACTCCAATTATTATCGCATACAAAGGTTTTTGACAAATCGCCCACGATTAAGTGGCTCTTCTCATGAAAAATTGACACATAATCATTACATTTCAATGGAATATTTCAGTGTTTGTTCAAGCTTTTACAGTATATTTTAAACACACGAGTCTCAGGCACGATATAAATTACTTCAATTTTGCACTAACTTCGTGAAATCTTGGTGCATTGAGGTTCTCCTCTTTTTTTATTGCAAACTGTTGAATCACTTAATTTGGACTATCTTTAATCGTGAAACTGGGTTAAAAACTGTCTCAAATTGCAGTCAATTGTAGCATAGACTTAATGTTAATCTGGAATTAAAAAACTTGAAGGCCGCACTCGTAAATTTTCGCTCCAAAAAGTTAGCGCCTTTTCACTGCTATTTTTGAGACAATTACAGGCACGCGTGTTCGCTTGCAATTGACCTGCATGACGCAAAAAAGTAACTACTGCTGCAGTTTATTCATTCCAGATTCGGGGTGGTCAGTACTCTTAAAGTTAATTAAGTCGAAACTTACATGAAACTCTTGCCCCAAAATTATTTTAATTCACTCCTAGTTTTGCAACAAATAAAATAAGCATGCTTGCTCACTTGGTTTACTGCAAATGGCCTATATGATGCAAAACAGGTTGTGAAACTGTTTCTTAAATGCTTATACTGTTTTAACTCTTTTTAAAAACAAAGTATGTCCCATAATAGTTTTTATGAACAGATATGCGCATTTGGACGATCCCAAAATATTGGCTCCTTAGTTTATCCAAATATGAAAGCAGTTCAAACTGAGCATGTAGAATCAGACGAGCAAAAATATACTTTTTCCAACTTTTACAGAACTGGAAAAATCGTGAAATTTCCTGAAATTTCCCTTGCATTCCCAATTTTTAATTTTTACAAATTACTGTTTTTCTGTAAATGCGGCTAATATTACACATACATTAAGAAGAACTCTTGGGTTTCTTTCGGTTCATATAGTAAGTGGAACACAAACTAACCCACTTTTTGGGGCGATTTCGGTACAATTTCCGTCGAATTCAGCACAAAAATTATTTTAAAACATGGGAAAATCCCGGATTCAACCGTAAGTTTGGATTAATTTATGTCTCTCTTTCCATATTAACCGAACTTGTTTGTTATACACTGAAAAAAAAGATTGCTAGAATTTAACATTCCCTCACGCTGTATTTCACACAGTGTAAATTCAATGTCGATTCTGCCAGAGGAATGGTTACCTGTACCAGTATACAGTAACATTTACCTTTCCTCTGGCAGAATTGACTCTGAATTGACGCTGTGTGAAATCAGCGTGAAAGAATGGTAAATTCTATCAATCTTTTTTCCAGTGTACATTTTTGTGATGAGTTGCACAGTTAGAACAGCAATTCACAAATGGACTACATTTTACCATTAGGAACTTCTATTTTTCGCTCAATTTTAATACAACGTAAGCACCTTTAGTTTCCCTATACACACAATTGTTTTTACTCATGAGCCAGAAATTATAGTTCCTAATGCAAAATGTAGTTCAACCTAGGTATACTTTTTCGTCGTCGTTTCCGCGAAGAACGTCTGGAGAACTCCAGTATCTCAATCACCTGCTTTGGATATACGGATATTCTCCTCTAAATGTAAATGAGCTGCGTCACTCGAGTGGATATACATTACGTCACGAATTGAAACGTCAGTTCGGACTGACAGCGGGACTTGCACTTGCTGTTTCGGGAACGAGTGATTTATTCTTGCGAAACGTCACTGCACCACGCGGCCGCGAGTGACTTGGCGCATGCGTTGAGAACACCGAGTAGTCCTTGCGCAGGGAGGCTGTCCGCTTTATTGTTTTAATGATTCTCCCGAAGAACAAATGAATTAAATTCGTTGTTTCGACACATTTTTTTCCTCGCCTCATTTTCACACCAATTTATGCGTCCATCAGGATCGCACTGGAACGGAAAGGAGTTAAGATGGGTCAACGACTGCTCCATTCCAAAATATCACTGGAAAAAAAACACATTGGATCTAGAGTCCAGACTCTTAAAAACATCGACAAGAAAAAACCTCTTCAATTCAATCAGATTTAACCTTAAATCAAGAACCCAATCTCTTAATTTGAGCGGATTTCCTTTTGATGTAAGCTTAAAATCTGATTGAATCAAGATTTTTTGTTTTGGTCAATGTTTTTAAGAGTCTGGACTCTAGATCCAATGTGTTTTTTTTTCCAGTGTAAGGAAAAACGCCGCATGAGCTTTCACATTTTGTCATATTTCCTTCAATAAAAATTAAATTTACTTGGAATTTTATGAATATTTGTCCTCAAATTTTTAGACAATATTGTTCGCAATTCCATCTAAAATATCTGAAAATTTCAAGGATAAATATTCATCATTTTCCCTTGTACAAAATACAGGTTTTATCCGGAGAATTTGGCAACTCTCGAATATTCTTACGGCGTTTTTTCGTGGCACGGCGAGAATTCCATTTTTTAAAAGAGGACGTCTGTGCGGATTATTTTGTCAATTTTAAGGAATTTGCCTCGCACTATGCAGAAAATTCACTGTTTGCACAAAAATCCGCATACCCATTTCCATGTAAAGAATTAAATTTGGCAAAAGCTGATGTGGCTTGGCTCCTTTCTGCTTAACGCAGTCTAATTATCCGTGTAAATGGATGCTGATCTATGCAAAAATTGGTCAAAATAACGATTCGGTGCTCCTAAGGTGCGGCTGAGTTAAAACAACCATTCTTTTCTCCTCTCCGTTTTTCAGACTTGGACGTATTATTGCCAAACGAAACTATGTGCATTAAGACATGAGCCCCGAGACCCATCAGACTATATGCATAACAGGGCTCACGTCATATTGCACATAGTTCTGTTCGGCAGAAATACGTCCATTTTAAAGGGTGCGAAATACGTGTGGACGATGATTTTCTCTCATGGTGTCAGCCAGAACCTAACATTTCAATTATCTTTCAAATCCGTTGACCTATGCGTTCAATTACTATAAAAAGCTTCATCATACGATAGGAATTCCTGTGCAGTTATCTGTTACCTCCTTTTTTAGCCAGGAATCAGATTCCATCAGTTTTTTTATATTCTCTAGTATTATCCTCTACTCAGCCCATCCCATCCTATCACCTCGACCTTAATGCAGTTTTAATAACAGTCTGCCGGATGAGCCATTTTCTTTATGGGGTCTCTAAAACAGGAGCCATTAGCACTTGATGAAGGCGCCGCCCTGGAATCTGTGATAAAAGACGAGAGACTTCTCAAATTTGAAGCCGACTGCAGCAGGTTATGAACACTCAAAAGTGCATTCGATTGAAATATTTGGAAGCTCAAGAGGGAGCATGATATCCGTAGGTTTGCCGCCGTTCTTGTTTGAAAGTTAAGTCAAAAAAGGATGTGTTCTAAGGAGACGGATTACTTTTTTATGGAAATTTGACTTATTCGTGATAGGAGGAACTATGAACGTAGGTTTCTCGTGCGACATAATGCCTTTTAACCCAAGTCTGTTCAATTTTGATTGGTGTTGTCAAAAATAGCGCAATTAAATTGTCGTAAGTTGCAAGTTCGTAGTCGTTACATAAATACGAACTTTTACATAAGAATCAACAGTCAAATCGCAAATTCCTCCCACACGCAACATCTCCATTTAGGGACGGCCCCCAATGAGGCAGTTGCGCTAGTCGCAGAATCGTGTTTTGGTGCTTGATACTTGTGGATTAGCTAAAAATTATAAGATCCGTCCAAACAGCAACCTCCTACGTTCAATGTTAACTGAGATATTGCGCTTTGAAAAAGTCAGTTTATGACGTCATCTACCGCGGTAGTGCATACCGTGGGCTCTTCC